GTTAATTGTGCTTTCCTCGGACACGGTTCGAGAACTGAATTGGGTCAAGTCGTTTATTAGCCAGTCGGGCATTAGAACCCCTCTGTCTTTGAACATCTTGTTGATCTTGTCGACCGTCAAACTACCACCTTCATGTGTAGTTATGTGAGCTTCCGCTTCATGCTTGACTTCCACTGGCGTCACTTTCTTCTTATGGCTTGTGTTCCTTTTGACCAGATCAGGAGAGACTGGCATAGAAACTTTATCGTCACGCTTGCGTAACGACGCTTGGACATGATTCTTCGTATCGCCATGATCTGGTTTCGAATTTGGTTTAGTTGACCGAGTTTTTGGCATTCTGAAAGATCTAACGCCTTTCTCTTATCAGCACGAGTCCTGAGAAAGAGTTTCTGATGCCTGAGAAGGATCTCTGCTTTGATCACTTGATCGTACGAGCAGACAATGGATCTCTAGCCAAAATCTGTGACCGTTCTAGCAAGCAAACCTTGGAATATAAGAGACCATGAGTGGTGACTAACTCAATAACTATGACAAAGAAAATGGATGTGCAGATGTTGTGAACATCCAGGAAATTATGACGATCAGCGATGACAGTGAACGCAGAGTTATTCAGTAGGAGCAAAATATAACAAGATCAGGATAAAGGACACGTAACAGAACATTTGTAAAGTTCTAGCTTCAGAAGATGAGGTAGACAAATCAGGAGAGTCCCCGGAGATCTATTTGCAGCTCTCTAAAGAAGTGTATCCATTGGATAGTGAATAAACCAAGAGCCATAACGTGACGTCCGATGACTCTTACAACCCTACTTTGACCCAAATTCATTTCTAAGTAATGTGTACGTTCGACATGTACAGTGTCACCATTACTCATAACTCTCATGGAATGATAGCTATCGAGACTCTTGTTCATACGCAAGTTGGAAGGTAGATCTTCCTGGACGACCCTCCCAGCTGTGTTTGCGATCTACTTTTGTCGCCACAGGTGTGTCTCAAGCGTTCAAAGAATCCAGGCTATCGAGAGTGACGTTCCTTTTGATGACTGAGCGACAATAGCGGTAAACGACTTTTGCCCTTCATAGAACCCAGCAGACAATCCTCCTGGACGTTCAGCGCATTTAGAACTTCTGCGCAATCTGTTCCGTACTGCTTGGAGACGACTGCGGTTGGTCAACGTTGTGAGTGATTTTGGTAGGTTTGTAGTCCACGCATCACGCAAGAGTTCAGTTTGGTGCATGCACGTGAGACTTTGAACGACTAACTTTCTGCTTAGGTATGCTTTGCCCATCCTTATGCTTGCCTGAAGCTCTCTTTGGTGACCGTATCAAGAGCTCATCTTCAGGGTCGGTTGCGACATCATTCGAGGAAGATTCGTTGGCGCTATCGAAGCAAGACATTGTTCGATCTTGCGATGCGGGTACAAAGCCAGAAGATATTGGGAAAGGGGAGACTAATGAGTCATCCCGAATTTCTTGATCAAATGTTGGGGCTGCGGATATTGCCCCGAGAAGTGCTTTTTAAATCGCATCTAATCTCGGATCATGCTGTACATCTGATGTGTCACTTGTTTCCTTCCCATGCATATCGATAAATTGAAAGGAACTGAGGCTAATGTAGTTGTGTCAGCTGTCTTGTGAGACTGTGGCTCGTCCAAACAGGTCCGACATGACGACAGGATGTGGTTTCACTGCTTGAGATCTGGCACGAACACATCTAAGCGAACGCTGAGCACTCCTGCATGTGTTCCCCAAAGTATGACTGAATCGGATTCGAGTTGCTGGAGCGCTAGCGAGAATCATGCAACCATATGCTCATTCCTGCAGACCGAGACTGCCAAACTTGCTAGAAAATTTGCACTAGTGACCACCGGGAAAGTCTGTTCCAATCACTACAGACAAATGTATCGTTCGTAATCACTCTCTCTATGTGGAAGCCATCACCATCTATCGCGGTGTCAGCCCTTTCTCATCATCAGTATCTCTGGATGGCACTCTGGAGATGTTCATGAATTTCGTGCATGTAGAAACGAATGAGTGGACTGTGTAGATACACTAACTATTGTTCGGCATCTCAAGCGATTCTCTCATAACTATGGAGAGAGACATGAGCTAATGAGAGATCGTTACTCTGGGGTGACATATCTATATAGCCATACAAGAAGATGGGCGTAGGAAGGTACGACAGTATATCCATACGTAAGAGAGCAAGTGTAATTCTAGCTAAGGGGCAGAGTTTCTATGGATCCACTTGAGTGTAACGTAATGTATGCTTAATGGATTATTCCAAGATCACGCAAACGTAGTCATTAGTCTCTATAAGCTATGGATAACCAGATAATTGAAAATCAACAATTACATATCAATGATCAATAATATAGCGTATAATATCATCTATAGACCCTGGTGCTATTCTATGATAAGTAACCACTTTTCTTAGTATAAAGAACAGGCGTAACAAGCTAGTTTATAAGATGTCAAGTAGCATAGGGTAGAGTAATAACTTAGCTACCATAAGTTTAACTCTATGGTACTCTTATCAAGTCACTCTTCTAGTAATCTCCAAAGCTATATAGCTATAGCAGATCTTTAGACACCTAAAGCTAGACGCCCGGAAAATACATCATAGTATTTGTAATGTCATATAGTAAAGCTAAAATCGACATCATACTGATATCTGTAGATAAGTGATCTTACATGCTCGAATTCGCCGCTGCAACAACGATAGCCGAATTACTGTTACCTCACACGTCAGGACGATATTTGACACGACAGCAATCACTAAAGGCCATACAGCAGATCCAAGAGTCTCGAGTGTCCAACCAGTAGCATCTTTGAGCTGCAAATTCAATCCGTTATATCGTTCTTCCTGCGCTAGAGATTCGACAGGACGCTGGAAGAAAGAGAGCACCGAATGAATTCAAGGGCAGACCGGGTAGTCATACTCATTCAATCAGACCTATTCCAAACGAGGTGAGAATGAATGGTCACAAGCATATCTCAGAAAGGCTCACTAACTCGTAATCTAGGAACGAAATCGTGTAATAGGTTGGTCCTCACTGATTGCATGTTCCATTCCATAATCTTGTATTGCTTGAATGAGTTGCATCCCGATGTCATTATTACCATTCGGCTGAGATTTATTCTAGATGCAAGATCTACGTGCTTATCAATTATTGATGTACAACTCGTGAAACGAGAACGGAAGCAGTGTACATCTATTCATCACCAAATCTTCCCATGGTAGTATTTACGTGTCTCGAGAGACAGCGACACATTAAAGCAATTGTTTGAGTCCTGTGACATCATCAGCATCTCGCATCACGTTTTACAGCGTAAACACGCCTGTCTCTCACGAGATCACTCATACAAACACACACGTCCAGTCTATAAAAAGGCTCGATCCCACCAACCACTTTGCCTTACATGAACCCGTCTAAGTATTTGTGCTCATCTTAGATTGATCAGATGTTTTTCCACTTGTTTACAGGTCTTTCCTTGGTAGCGCTTGGCATATCTCAAAGCTCGACTGTGATCCCTGACTCTTCTACCCAAATATTTCCGTCGGATGCAGTCATTCTTTCGACCAAGCCGCTCGTGCCAGGGGGTAACGTTTGGTCAGCGCTAGTTAGTTCGTGCGTCGAATCTTCGGGAAAATCTGGAATAGACTGCGTATCCGATGCCCTATCTGACCTTTTGGAGATCGCGGCGTCCAAAGACGGCCGTGAGAACGGTGCCACAGACTCTAAGAACGGAACTTTGGTCGAGAAGCGTAGCCTCACTGGCGCAAAGGGATCTGGTCTCACGCTAAGAAGCACTTCGGAAGGATCCCAAACTATGCAGGGCTCGGCAACCTCAATCTACAGTTCGAGGTCGACCGTGTTCGAACATATCTCGAATGGTACTCACGGAACTGTGCGAGCGGTAACCAGTCTTGACAGCAGCAATGAGGCCTTTGGAGAGGAACGTCGTTATAGAAGGAACACCTTCTCGTATGGAGAAAAAGTCCAGGGATTGAAGCTATCATACAGTACAGACTGTGGATTCGTCGGCTTCAACGATCAGTCCTTGAAGACACTGCGTAATCTTGTTGGCACTTTCGTGTACTCAGCATCAACCAACATGCATTCGGACAAGTATGCACTAGAGATACTTAACATAGGTAACAACGTCAACAACCATATGCTAGCTACGGTGGTCGCCGAAGCAGATGTCTACGGAAATGATTATTAAAATATCAATCAGCGCCACTGTATCCATCAGGAGATCAGTGCTAGCTTCTCGCGGCTCCGAATAATGAGGACCATAGACAAATTACCGGCTTGCCGCTAGCTTTCTACGTAGAGTCGTTTCTGACCTTCTGTTGATCTGCCATATTTGTAGTGCTAATAGAAACCCATATCCATGCCCCACTGTCATGGTCTGATAGACCGCATTGCTTGAGATACGTCTCTGGGCCCCACGGTCGGTGTATGCGCTGCAAGAGCTCAATTTCTTTGCCAACGACATCTCTAAGTGGTACCGAGTCGAAAGGCGAGTACATTAGCAGATGATGCCTGCACATCATGGATGCAGGTTATTCAGAATGCCATGGCAATGCTTCCGTCATGCTAATTTTCAGCACAAACGACCATTCAGCCGTCAAGATCAAGATTCTACGGTGAGGTACCCACTGATACCTCGAGCCCCCTTCTGTTGAGAGTATCACATGGCGGACAAGTTTAGCAGATATCTGTCGACTTAGAGTCTGCAGCGAGTCCAGGCATCGAGCAAGGGTAGAGAGTGTGCGCATCAACATGTCGCGGCTAAGGAGCTTTCAATAAAATAACATCGTTTGGGCAAAGTAGTACGGACCGCTGTTTCTAAAGGACAGTATTAGTCTCATGAATTTGCTATCATACATCAGTACGATCTGTGGATAGAAGCCTCTCAACTAGAGCACATTCCTTAGCAAGGCCACAGAGCCGAGGTAACAAAGACTGAGCAAGGGTCATTGAACTGCCAAGCTATCTGATCTAAGTCAGAGAGCGTAAGAGTTTAGCTGGTAGATAGAACGTCTGGGCCTCGAAAATTTGGCACAGCAGAGCACCACGCTTTGAATTGGAGCTGGACCATGTTATGAGGAGACCATTGAAGAAATCCCTACAATTGAGGATCAGGGTCTCTTGCCCCTGAATCTTAGAGTCTAGACAGTAGCCCAGGAATCTACCTTAACTGAATCGGGTCAGTGTTGGGACTGAAGCTCTTCAGTAGGAAACTGGCAGAATTTTTTCTTAGCATCACATCGGAGTCAAGATCCGCGCCACATACGATGCTTTCCTCACTCATGAACATCACGACTGTTTTTTCTAGTATCTGCTGTATAGGACGCTTTCTAAGATTTCTGTTTGACACCTTGTATCCAAGATTCACGCAGAATTTTCGCAACCGGTTCACTTCTGACACGTTCTGCGCAGTCGAAAGTATGCCGCCTGAACTTTCTGTGCGCGCTGCCACAGCCCACAACCATCAGCGCACTGTCCAGAAGCACGATACAAGTGAGTGTGTGCTCTCCGATCCCAGTGGTATTTGTTTCATTCGAGCGCCTGGTCAATATGGCCTATTAAGGTTACATCCTTCTCGAAGTGAATCTTGAGGACTTTTCGCCTACAATCACGATACAGGCTCCCAATATGCGCACCCTTCCACTGATTCCCTCGATCCTCGAACTGCTTGCAAACTCTCCGCGTTGCTCACCCATCACCAGGCGGCAGTGGTCAATTTTGATGGCCCCAGTGATTCTCCTCTGGGTGATGGTGTACGGCGAGTAACTTATCCTCGCTCGGTTTCAATCACTGAAAATTCGTCTATGCCGGTCATCGATCTTAGAGGAGATAAAATCTCGATCACCATGTGCATCACCCACAGCAGCAGCCACAAAAAGTTACCTACGACGAAATACTCTCCATCTCTGCTGCTTGGTCTACCGAACGAGACTCGATTCAAGATATTCAATCACAAATATCTCTCCATCGATGATTTGCGTAGCCTTCGCCTTGTGTCGCATGAGACGAAGGAATTAGCTACAGAGGTCCTTAGGCGTCTTTGCTTTACCCTTCTGGACGTCCTTTATACCACACGCCATGATAGATCAACAGAATCAACAAGACAGCTCACGCTCATACTAGCCTCCGAGTTCGGCTTTTTCATTGAAGGAGTTACTTTTGACACACTGGGGTTGAACCGCGAAAACAGATTGAAAGAGGAAAAGCATAAAGAAAGAAGAAAAAAGGAAGAGCACGAGCGGAGGAAGAAAAATGCCCTTGGTGGACTGCGAGGGAAGGAGGATGTCAACTACTCACGACTGGAGAGTATCTCAATTCTACATCACAGTGGTGATATGCTTCAGTTTGTCAAAGTTGTGTTCAAAACCACATATCTCAAGATCCTCAGACTATATGGCACTGTACCGGGGTCGTGGTATACAGTTGCTTCCTCCCATCTGGCCCCACCTCGATATTCTGTCCCTAAGCTCGATCAATGACCCCAAGTCGACGAATTGTTCAGCTCCCTCTCTACAACTTATCTGACTGAGGTAGACCTGTTTTACACTCAAGTCTCCATGCATGAGCTCATCAGTATTTTTAAAGGACAGCACAAGACCTTGTGTACTCTTGTACTGCATTGCTCGACACTTATAGATGGTCGATGGTCCGATCTCCTCTCTCACCTGTATGACGATCTTGACTCCATCAGAATTCCGAACATCAAGACTGTCTACCTCTGTCAGGACGAGGATATCGATCACGATGCCCTGGAAAAAGCACCTGATCCAGAACTCGAAGGAAGACAATTCATTGAAGCTAGATGCAGATCGATGATGGAGGAGAGTGAGGTCCTGATGTCTTGACAATCAAATTGACGATAATACAAGCAGGTCAGATCTTGGTTGGTGAAACTGCATCGACTCTGATTGGCAAGGAAGCTCTAAAGAAACTACTCATCAATCTATGGGCCGTGCTAAGGTCGAAATTGGTTGACTTAATGGTTCTACAAGGAGCATCTGGAAGTCAGAGGATGTACGATGCGATTGTTTTGCAGAACGACCCTTCACCTTAAGTCTCGCTCACCTTTTTCATTACAGCTTCGCAAGTCTCGTCATTGCGGTTTGTCAGTCACATCTGTCTATAGCACCATATGGAGAAAAATCTGGCGAATGGTGAGACTGTCTCTTGTATGCCCGACAGGCTGTGCATCATCTGCAAGGAACTAGACCTGGTTGTTTTTCGAACCTTGGTCTTTAAGTTTGCATTCTGCACACTACCCATGTAAAAATTTCTGTTTCTTGCTGTCTTTGATGGGTGACAAGACTCTAGCGCTCGACTGCTCTCAGGGCAAGCAGGCGCGAGCAGCTTCCTGCCCAGTCAACGCGTTTGAAACGCGAGGTGATCACCTCTGGACTAGCCGAGCATCTTTCTGAGAACACGATATACGATGGTAGACTGTGTCATGGCTAACGTATCTAAACAAGACAAGCAAAACGGTCGTTACAGATCTTCGTCCTGGTTTCTCGTTACGTTGCTCTGCGTACACCGTAAGTTCATTGTAAGCTTTTTCTTCGAGCAGTCTCCTTCTTCTGTTTATCACCGACACATCTCACAAGACACTCTTAGGTATACAATCGTATGATCATATCGGAACCCTTTAAGCAGTATTGTACCTCACGAGATCTATAAAAGGGAGTACTCTAGAGATCTGGTAGGAAAACAAACAACGAACCTTCTTAGCGCTCAAGCGAGCTTCCACCGATGGACTTACATCTACCTGTCTCGATTGGCAAAGCCAGCCGAGGTCAAGACCGATGCAAAGGATCCAACGATTGGAGCATGTCTTGGAGCAAGAAACGAGTGAAGACGCCACTGTGACCTCCTATTCCCCTAAGATGACGCTAGCAGATCGGAAGCATGACAATCATGACAAAGCGCTTCTTGTCTTACTCGCAGCCTTACAATATCGGGGAGTTTACGTCGAGCGAGCGCCTTGTTTACATAGATCGTAAAATCTTCTCACACTTAACAACCGCCAAAGATCCTCATCGTAGGCTGGTACACCATCTGACGGAATCTCTCCTGCGGTGCAGTTCTGGATTACATAGCTTTAGTAGGTGTCTTTCCCAATTGCGCCTTTTCGCTCTTTTCAACAGTCTTTACTTTTCTCCCAAAATCAATCTGTTTACGCCAGGTTCCTGGGGACTCGGCAGACACTCCCTAACGGTTTCTATACCATCACTCCAGCATCCTTGTATACTCTTCCAGCCAGTTGATCTCGGCATCTCAATCCATTTGCTTATATCTTCAACCACAAAGAAAACATCAGACAAAATGCAGTTCTTCGTCCCCACCATTATGAGCGTTCTTGCTGCCACTGCAGCTGCTCTTCCTACTGAGAAAGTCCTTCCGAAGAGAGGTACCATCTCTGTTACTCCTCACGTTGAGTACAGCTCCAGTGTTGGCGTCCTCGGATGCAAGATCAACACCGATAGAGTCGCCTACTGGCCCATGAGCGTTGACTGTGACAACATGTGTGTCAAGGTCAGCCATCAAGGCCGTTCTCTCCATCTACTCCGTGTCGACCAGTCTGGAGGTGCCTACGACATGAGCTACGATGCATGGAATACTCTTGTCACAGGCAAGAACGCTACCGTTGCCCCAACCATGGGCGGTGGTGTCGACATGGAGTACGAGAGCGTCGACATGAACGAGTGCTCACATCTTCTTCACGATTCTGACGGCAAGCTTGCATTCTCCGCCGTCAACAGCATGAACTTCATCGCTTCCTGCATCAGCGAGCCCAACAGCTGGGTTGCTAAGAACTACGGTCTGTGGAACATTTACAACTCCATCTGTACCAACGGTGTTGATGAGCAGTGCACTTTGGACTTGAGCGTCAGCAACCA